GCTCATTTTGCTTCCGAGAAACATGCAAAACGGGACGGAAAACATGAAATTTTGCAATAATCTTGCGCGACCCTTGCACAAAACGACGATAATTTATCTAATTTCATAGACAGACTGTATTTTTTCTACATACCCCCCCCCTGAATTTAAAACTGGATCCGCCCTTGATTAACACCGGTTTTCCGAAGAATTTTCTACAATTTTTTAAATAAAATACTGCAACTAATTAATTAAAGTTACATAGCAGAAATATTTGTGGGCGATGTGTATAAATACAATTTTGAAAACAGCAGAAAAAATCACTATAGAAATATTGGAATAATTCCAATTCTAAATTTCCGTTTTTTAAATCGCCTTAAGAATCTACTTAAATACCTTGAATTTAAATAAATTTAAGTGCATAATTTGTCCGCTGTAGTGAAGCTTTGACTAAATCCGCGCCTTGGTTCCTGTTCTGAAAAGCAATTGGCCGCAATAATCCATTTCAGTTTCTCACAGTAATGAGGTGGAAACGTTTAAAAATAGTTTTATCGAAGTTGGAAGCCAATAAATCCAATTTAGCCCGATAGAGGCTGTCAATGGGAAATTGCCATTAGGCTCTGGAAAGGTTTTATTGCCCAAGTGTATTAATAAACCGGCCTACATCCCGCATCCACACATGTCATTTTATTGCTGTTACCCGTTTATAGCCATATAGGTGTATAAATTTTTTTCATTCCAGGAAGAGTTACTTTAGGAAGCGGCTCTGGAGTGGACATTCCAGTTCAGGGCACTGGAGTGTCGCCTTTACATTGCCACATCGAAAACAGCGAAGGCGTGGTCACTTTATATCCCTTATCGGATAATTTATCCATTGATGGCCTAAAAGTCCAAGGCCCCACTCGTTTGTCTCAAGGTAAAAATCTCAGCCCAACTGCAAGCAAATGACCAAATAGACGTTTTTCTCAAGGTGTTATGCTGACGATTGGTCGGTCAAACTATCTGCGATTCAACCATCCAGCTGAAGCCAAATTAATGAAATCAGTGTTACCGAATCCGAGAATCTCAATGGCTCCCATCACTTTCGAACCAGCCGACATGAACTATCGTGAGTCGAAACTCAATAAGAAGCCCCCGGTTGTTCCAAGGAAGAGCCCCAGGGAATCTTTATCAGATAGTGGAAGTACGTGTCAGATCTTCAATGATTATAAACTCATTTTTAATTTAAATTTTCTTTTGATTTAGGTGAAGAGCCCCCTTCCAGCATCATGACCAAAGTTTCGAAATTCGAATATCTGGCCGCTCAGAATCTCAAAAAAGCCTACTCACCCAAAGTGTTCACCTCCAATGTGCCTACAATGAATGTGCCAGTCAAAGACGTTCTGGGCAAGGATATCGATAGCTTAAGTCTTAGGAAAAGCTTACCGCAAAGCGCTGTTAATTATGTGGAATTAAACACCAACGAGAAACAACAGAACAAAATACCTGGTAACTTGCATCATTTTAATCACACAATCACTGTTTTTTTTTTGGCAAATAATTCTTGATTACCAGTGAAAAGCTCAACATGGAACGATAAAAGATTGCGTTTCAGGTCAAACGATATTTACCAAGCAAAAGCAGCCCGCTTATGTGAATGTGACAGTGAACGAAACGAGAAACATTAACAACCGAGTGATTATTTACGAGAATGGATGCATCCCTAAGAGCTCCAACGTCAATTTCGACCATAATGATCTGAACAATAAAACCGCCACTAAGAACGTAAATGTAAATCGCGCTAATGCTCCGAGTCCGAGTTTCAGCAGGAATCCTGCACAGTTTTACAGGTAGGTTGATACTTGCTTCAGGTGCTGATTTTTTCACACCGTTCTTCGTGTTCTTTTTAGGAGTGTAACGCCTAGTCCCATCTCGAATAATATGAAAATAGAACATAGACGAAGTGGTTCAGTGGGCGAATTGCCTGCAAACTACGTTGAAGATCTGGATAGTTTAGCCAGCAGGAAACATGAAGCAGAAATTAGACGCAATCAGGTAACATCGGTTTGATCTTGAAATCGTAGATAAATGAAGGAAAAACTCATTTGGATACCGATAAATACAAAAATGGAAAGATTTTTCGTAGGCTTGTTTTTCATAAACTGTTAGGTTGCATTGGTGTATTGAAATTTTCCTGTTTTGATAGCTCCATCCTTCCATTCCCAGATAATGAAATACTTGCTGCGGTTCCAACCACGCTCTGTTTCCATTGTGAAAAAGAGTCTTTGAAACTAAAATTTCCTCACTATGCACTTCACTATTAACGCCATCTCATCAAATGCAGTGTTTTCTTATCTCACGTAAAATTCAGCGCATTTATCAGGTCGTTTGTTGAACAAATTGTAGCGAGCAATTTATCTTATCAGCTTATATTGTCAAATCTTGTATTTCTGTACCTTGGTTAGTCAGTCGCAATCACACCTTGTGCATGTTGCCTCAGATTCAGATTGAACTTCGTAGACTTTTCTCTAAAAATAATGGAATAAGTTTAAGTTGCTTTTTAAGGCACAGAGAGACCGAATTAAGGAGCAGGAGCTGGAAAAGGCCGAGAAGCAACGGTTAGAGGAAATTTTGAACATGTGCGCCGAATATGAGAGGCAGTGCCAGACCCAAGGGGAGAAAAGCAAGCCTCCAACTCCGAACAGGTGAGCTCGGCAAAGCAGCTTTGTTTTTTCCAAAAGCAAAAATATATAAACAAACTGGCTGCTATTTGAACTCTGCTATCTTATCTAAGGATTAGCAGCTACAGCCACCCACCATGAACGCTCAATTTTAATGCTATGCTTTTGTAAACATTTTCCCCCAGTTTAAACAGAATATTCTCCACATTTTCTTAGAATTATAACGAACGGTTCATTACCACGAGACAAACGCCACCTGGGTTCGCCCTTTGGGTCTCCTCCGCCTTCTCCGCTGGAAATTCTCCACAATGAGCTGCTGAAACAGAGCAACCACAACTATGAAAACGTTCCCATGAACTTCCACAAGCCAGAGCCGCCTTATCGAGGACCATATGAAAATGTGGAAATTAGGCAGGCTGCCACCAAAGACGGCGATTGTGGTGGTACTTATGAGAATGTTTCTCTGCAAACCACTGGCTCTTATCCATCCAGTCCTCGGACTAGGATTAAAACGTTTGTGGCCGCCAACAAGGACGGGTTAGTATGATGGAAAGCCTCACAGGAACCCATTTGAGTATTTTTTTTGTTAGCAACCTCAGATCAGTGGAAGACTCCATTGATAGTAAATTTGCGGTTTTTGAAACCGAGCGGAAGCTCATTAAGGAAGCAGAACGAGTCCTAAGGCAAAACCTCCACAATTCGAAAGAAATCACTGATGACAATTTAGATCTGGGCCACTTGGAGCCAAGGAAATCAACTCCTACCAAGTTCATATATCCCATGGAAGGCGAAGAAACGTCGGCTAAGGACCGACAGTCATCCGAATGCCGGATGTCTTTGGAGAGTACCAAAAAGGGCGAAGATTCGACCACAGCAGACAGCGTTAGCTTTGACTCTTCGCAAGAATACAATCGACGTAAGTCCGAGCTCACCCAATAAGTGAAGAACTAAATCGAATTTTTCCTGCAGGTTTGTCCGCCAGTCAAAGCCCGGAGGAACGGAAAAGATGGGAGCAGCTGAGAAAGGAAAAGCGCGACATTCTGGCGGTTATTGCGCGCATCAGAAGGCAGATGAATGAAATTGAAATACAAGAAGAGGAACTGCACCGGGAGGTAAAGCGCAACTTTTTCTGTTTTTTTGGGGTACTTAATTGAGATTGTTTGCTGATGTATAGATTGAACTGGAGAAGGCCCTAATAAACGGCGAATTCAAGTCAAAGGAACTGGAACTAGAAAAAATCGAGTCAAAAAAGCAGAAGCTGCAAAAAAGAGCGCAACGAATCGAAGACAACATGCGGGACTGCCAGATTAAGCAAGAAGAAGACCAAGAAGAGTGCAAAAAGAAACTGCAATTTGCTCAAGACGCCATGGACAGAATGGAGGAAAAGCTCAAGGCAACTGGTGAGTGGAATTGGAGTTTCGCCCCAATCCTTCATAGTTGATGTATAATTGTTTTGCTCAGAGAAAACCAGTTCGGACTACGAAGCAGTATTTGAGGAATACTTGCAGGCGCAAGAACAGCTAGACAACGAGAGGAAAAACTTCGAGGATTTGGAGTTTCACCACCTAGAAGAGGAAGCCGATTGGCTGGCTAGCAGGGAAGAGCTACAACGAGAAATATCAGACCTGTCGAACAGAATCGAACACGTGAAAGGGAACCTAAAGGACTTGGATAGTCAGAAGCAGAAAACGTCCAAGACCAATTCCAATGAGTACAAAACCATCGAAAAACAAAAACTTGAGTGTATGGTCCGGTTAGAAGAGATACGCGATAGGTAACTAAATGTCTGACAAAAATTACATTTTTTATTGAATATTTCCCTATAGGCTCAAGTCGATAGACACCGAACTGATGTTCTCGAATCAGGAATCGGACCAGGAAGCATCCAGCGAAAGTGACGACAGCGATAAATCAAAAGAGCGACCACAGTCAAATACAGCGCCGAAAATAACTAATATGAGCTGTTCAATGATTGTCAGCAATCACAACTCCAGTCAATTATCTGAGTATAATATGAGTCAGAGCTTCAATGAGAAATTGATTCATGAAACGTTTATTTTGGAAGATGGCATGGGTGAGTTATTTGATTTTTTATGGGCAAACTTTATTTAAATTAGATTTCAGTTAATTCGAATTCGGGAACTAATTCAGTAAATCATCTTTTATTGCTTTTTTATTCGATAAATATTATTTTGATTTCTGTTTAGTTCTGGAAACTGCAATACATATTTGCTTTGCTGGTATTTGCAGTTCAATCCAAGCAAAACATTATTAAACGAACGGATAGCGATATCCGTCAAGTTTTTCGCAACCTACAACTTTTGCGCGGCGAACTCATTTTTTCTAGAATCTTTAATGTTTATTAACCATATTTTGTTTGTTCAGGATATAAAAATAAACTAGGCTTTTGCGTTCTTCCAGCCAAAAAATTTCCGTCTCAAGACGACATCGATCGGATTAGCAAAGTAACATCAGATGCCCCGATTATTGAAGAAGGTCGCCAATCCTTAGGCCGAAAGGCCATTGAATCTCTCAAGGAAATCGAAAGAAACCGTCATTTGCATTTGTGCCAACAAGGTACATATTTAGAGCTGTTTTGAAGAAAGTTATCTGATGAATGCTTTAAATTTAAATTTTAGGTTCTCAAGTGATCGAGCAAGAGAGGCAAAGGGTACTTGCGTTAAAGCAGCGTGTCCAGGAAGAAGTGAAGTCGCAATGGGCCCAGCAAAGACAGGATTCAGTTATCTCTTCCGGATCGGACAGTTTTCGAAATAGGTGAGCTACAATTTACATTTAAATGATTGATTATTTTTCTGCAAAATTAGTATTTTCCCAGTCCCGTTTTTTTATCTGAGTTGACCAGCGGAGAAACGGAGAATTTACTTCTAATCAGCTTTTCACTATATATTCCCCTAAAATGAGTTTTCTTATCTTAATACAATTGAACTGCTATCTGGTGTTATCAATTAACAACTGTAAACTGGCATTATATCAACTGATAACCCACATTCGCAAAATTTTTGCAACATGAATTTGCCAAAATTGCTAAATTATCGTTGACGCTGGGCGTAGGTCGGTAGCGACTGTATTTTGAATGTCCTCTTTAAGTGCCTGTTTTCGATCTTCCATCAAAAGGCAATCAGTTCCACAACAGTTGAGCATCCGGTGAGGTTCGAATAATAAATTAGTTTCATTAAGGCATTAATAATGTTGACTGCTTTGGTTATGCGGTAATTCAATATATAATTTAGGTAATAAAAATGGCTAAATATAGCAAAACAGGCCAATCAGTATCAAACAGAGGAATGTATGGGTTTGAAAGCAAAAGAAAAAATAACAATAATATTCACACAAGCACACATCAAAGGAGCTGACCGCTCGCGGTATTCGGCAGGTCGTAAAATGAAATATTTATTTATTCGAAAAAAAGTAAGTTGGGAAAATAACGGAACATTGAAACGTATAAACATGGGCTTTCAAATAGCAAGTGCACTTTACTAGGAACCGGTGTTATTTTTGAGCAAAGACCGCTAATGAGGGATTTTACAAGGTCTTTGCCATTGAAACGGAAATGAGCCATAATGTTTATTTTCAAAACAAAAGTTCTAACTACGCAGTCTGATGCACAACTTTCTACGTAAATGCTGGGAAATGTGAAACTTTACTAAGCTCAGTTTTATAAAATGTGATTTTTATCCATTCCTGGCAATAAACGAGTAAAAAACAGTTCAACCAGTCAATTCTAGCAATCAAAAACGCGCTCTAATCGAAGGGATATGCATGATATCATAATTACGACTTAATAAAAATTGATGGGGCGTGTTAACATTGAATCTTACTATCCAACTGAATATAATTGGCGTTAAATCATAGGAATTCACAAGTAATAAATCGTCCAGTACTTTATCTAGCGAGCAATAAAAACTCAACGACCAACAGGTGAAGGGAACATCATTTGAAATCAGAACACCTAAAAATAATACTTTTAGTTCCATCTTTTCAGTAAGCTGACAGGATCCAACAGATGGTATTTGGATAGTTTAAAAATACATCGAATTTAGATAGCGGAGAAATAAATCATCCTGAGGTAGCCGGTGACAGGCTAAACGTTTTCGGCAATTATAAATTGCCATTCTTAAATTGTTGACGTCTATATATTGTTTTGTTTGCTATTGAGAGATCGCTGCTATTATTTTTCTCATATTTTGAATGTTGTGCTTGGTACAATTTCATCAACCCTCTGGCCCAGTTTTGAGCCTATTTGCTCTCATCAGCTAGGTTTAACTTTGAGAATAACACTGGCAAAATCTGCACTTTATCAGCTTTAACAAGCTAAATCCGAGTGATGAGCGCTAATAGGCTCGAAATCAGTTCTAAGGGTGTCGGAGATTAGCACATCTCAAGGCCTGTACCTAATTACATCAGAAACCTTTTATTATGTCAAAAATTTAATTTTTGTCTCAGCGTTTGGTTGAAAAATGCGGTCTTGGAATACGGACTATCACTGAGAAACCGCCTGTTCAGTTCGTAATTTTCTCTTATTGTATTTTTCATTTACGTTTCAAAACTTCCTGGGCTGGTTTTTTTGCATTCTTTTTTGTTGTTTCTTGTTCCTTAATCTCGTAGATCCTATTTGCCTCCATTTGCAGCACTTTTTTTCTTTCCCCTTTACGAATTTTTACGTTTACATCGTCTTGATAATTTCACTTTACTCGCTTGTATTCTGAGTTGTTAATTGGATTTATATTTTGTTATCAAATATCTGAGGATGTCTGCTATTTTATTTACAATTTATTGTTTGATTTTGTTAGTCGGAAATAAAATTTTCAATTTTCGAGGAATTTTCTTACTTTTCTTTGTCTTACTTTTCTTAATTATATTTTGTCATATAGCTTGTTGGCGTCTAAGTGTTCTCAAAGCTATTAATTTATTTTAAGCTCTCTTCATTCCTCATCAATTAACTTTTTCTGTGTTAGAATATATGAGGATTATGTAACTAGCTGTTTTTTATCTGAGAAGCTTATTTATTTATATTTTTATTTCTAGTGGATCTGATCCTGCCCCAAAACCCGATTCAAAAGTTGCCAATGGGGACGAAAATCGCAAAGTGAGTATTATTTCAACTCGTTTTACGTTTTCTAAGCAACAAATGCCTGAAGGGCGTCAATTTTTTTAACATCGTTGCTTGCGAAGGCTTTCTTTCAATATATTATTTCTTGTATAGATTAAGAATTTTATTATATTAACTTTAACTATTTATTATGAAAAAAAGTATAGATTTTTTCAGGACATGAAAGTGAGACGGCAAAAATTGGCTCATTTTTCAACAAAGCAGCTCTTTTTCGACCAGCTTTTTCTGAACTCAGAAAAATGTGTGAATCACTCCGAGAAAAATGACCATTGCTTCTGCCTATTAATCATCCAAGCAATCAAATTTGATTTTAATGCACTAGAGATGTAGTGCCGAATTCCACGCTTTGCATAAATATTGCCTCTACCTAAATTATCTTTGGCACAAACACGAAGCGATGCACCAGCAGTTTCCGTACCGATTTCGACGTATTAAAAGCATCTCTTATTCGCATTATGAAAATATGAATCGTCGCTTATTTATTTGCCAATAAGTGGATTCTATTAGGATTGACGTGGATGAGAAAATAAACCTTTTCCAACCGAAAGAGCATTTTTATGTTGGTGACCATCCAGTCAATCCACAATATATTTATTCGATCTTTTTGTCCCCATTTTTGTTCGTAAAGGTCAGCAAGGTATCCGGGGAATCAAAAACTTGCCGGGAATTCTAAAATGTATTTTAAACGAAAGGCATGAAGTGGAAAAGTAGTTTTTATCGAATATTATGGTGGAAATCAACACTAAATGGTCATTAAACCTCGAGAACATGGGCATTTCCAATATGAAATGCGCATAAGAGCTGGAAAACATTACATCATAAACCGAATGCCGTATTTATGGATAGTGTAAAAGCAGAGCAATTAACATCGGGCTTTGGGCGTAATTTACTACTAAGAGTGTTTACAGTTTTCCGGAGAATTTCCTGGTTTTCTTTTTACAATCGATTTGCCGAATCGCTCCCACATTGAAAACTTGGAGGTGTGTTTCGGAGCGTCAGTGAGGAAAATATTTACACGATCAGTTTGGGAACTTTGTATGTTGTTCCTCTCTTGATGGCAAGCGCGGAAAGGAATTTCCAACGCAGCAGTTTTATTGGGGAAAACATTTCCTTAAAGACCGACAAGACGAATTGGGAATTATTCAATTTAAATGCCAAGAATCTCACATTTGACACTATGAATGAAAATAGCTGGCTTATTTTGGGATCCCGTTTCTGTTGGCTTACATACTTAAAATCCACCCATCAATCCGACAAGGTTGAAAGGCTCGAATTCGATTGGCAAAAGCATTTTCGTCCATGAGAGACAGTTTAAAAGCCTTTGACGCACCATTTTCTCGCAATTGTTATTCATCGTCTCATTCAATACTGGCAATTAGCACGAGCGCAATTTATAAATTCTATAAATTCTAGACTCAGCACAATGGCATGTTCCTTGACGGACCCCCCATTTGTAACAGCGAAGTATACAAATGAGAAGAAATCAGTTTTTCCACGCCTGGCTGAATGGGTTTATTTTTGCGCTGCAAATCACACATTTTTACTGGATTTTCTGTTTATCTTTTCTGTTGGATTTGCTTGTGCATCAATAATAGATTTATTGAGCTGGGCTTTGATAGGCTGGAATAATAAGAAAGGAATCGATAAGGAAACAAGATTAAACCAAAAATTCTTCGTGACAAAACGAAAGAATATTTGAGAAGCACACAAATTGGTCATCGACAATCGATTTTTGAAAGTTTACGTTTAAGGATCACGGTTGTGCCGAAAACAAAACATCCATTATTTCAGCAAAAATGACGCATCTCGTGCTCGTAATCATAATTCATGCTGTCAGAAAAACGTATATTTTTGTGAAAGAGCGCCCACGGTTTGGAGAATGCGAATAAATTGCAAATGAACTAAAAAGCTATTTTTCGAATTTTGGAAATTCGAGCAGTTTTTCTCAAAAATCTTGATTAATCAGGTTAAAAACCCTAATCGATTTACTCTGCCTGGAATTCATCAAATTTACTCAAGTGTCTTCCTCACTTGCAATCGATGATGCTAAACTGAAACCCAAAAAGTAATCTGAATATCTGGCATAAAATATATAGTTGCAATATCAACACTGTAGGGTTTTTGATGCCATTGCGATAGACTTGATGCATTTTGGCAAAGTTGTGATATTAATTTTTTACCTTTTCTTGGCGATTTATTGAGCCAACTTTTTCTGCTTTTCAAAACGTTTGCACAATTTAAATTCGGACTGGTCAGAAATATTTGCAAGCGTACGTCACTACCACCAACTTATTATTTGAAAAAAGGTACATTCTCACAAAGTGAACGAAGTTTTATTATAATTGCGTCTACCTTTAAAATACCTGTAGTTTCAATTTTTATCAGTTACATTTTTAGGCATGTTGCATAATTCTTCGATATAAATCGATTAATTCAAAGGACAAATCCTCATTTTATAGGAAAAAATAATCGAGAAAAGACTAATTTCTTGAAAACACATTTTACGTAGGTTCGCTTTAGTACGTGAAATCTTATTATTATTTGGCTATTACACAGGGATACTTTGTTAAAATTATCCCTTATGTACTGTAAAAATTTCCATTTTTGATTGTATCGCTTATTGGAGGGTTTGGAAAAATTGTCATTAGAGAGCTTTCGATAGCCGGTTATTTGACGAAGACCTGCAGTTTTTGCAAACTGATACTGGCGCCCGATTAAATTTTTTTTAAATATATATATAAAAATAAGGAAAATGCATCTAAAAAATGGTTTACTGATTGTTTCAAAATAATTCCGACCTAGCTAGGGCGGAAAAACCTAAAAATTGCTGCACCTTTTAAGGGACCGCAACCTTCAAACGTCCAAACTCCCCCAAATCCCCATCAAATGCCCCCCATTTTTGCACACAGAACAATAGAGAGTTTTGCAACAAATTTAGCCCAAAATAGGCGCCATCACGTTTTAGGTGGGGTAACATCTCATGTAAATCTCATGCAAAGTCGGCTTGTTCGCCCTATAGCCTGAGGATGGGTGATTTTCGAAATTCGTTCACTTTTTTGAGCGATTTTCATTGTTTTGGAGCGTCCCAGAATCTGCCCAGTTGAAAAATTGTCAGATTCTGGAAATTTTCCCCGAAAATTAAGTAGAGTAAGAGTAACGGGTTTATTGAACGCTTTTCTATGCAGTTTTGCCCCTTGCGTTTTTCGTTTCAGGTATTGAGGATTTTTTGAAATTTATTTCTCGGAATGGTTCGGAAAAATTTTCCTTGGTTTTGAAAATGATTGATGTGAAAATCGTCGATTTTTCCTGGATCAATTAATTGATCCCCAAGAATTTTCGAGAAAAATGTTTTAATTCGATTTGTGCAAATTTTCTTTGTTGAATCGTTCAGATGGACTACGTGACCCAAACTTTTTTCAGCATATTCGAATGGATTTAAGTACAATTGACCGCAATGGGGCTTTAAGGAAAGTTCTGCATTTACGAGCGATATTGATTTTTTCAGACCTTTTAAGGCCTGCCAAGTAAAAATCTGCTCAAAATTTTACCACAAAAAATGGCCAGTTTGGGGAAATTTCCCCCGAAATTTCCTCCGAATCGAAATATTTTCGAACATAATTTTATATAACTTTTTTCATATTAGGACACCAAGACTATCACCTTGTATGTGAAATATAAGAGCTGTTATAGCGAGTTTATTATATTTGCTCCGTCAACAAATCTCGCCGATCCAAGCAAAAAGCCGTCTGCCTGAAGTCATAACGACTCTTTCAATGTCGAGCTTCAAACAAAACCCAAAAGCTCGTTACATAAAAGCTGCCGTTTTTTCCTCTTGTCATTTTACAACACTGAAAATAGTTTTAATGGTGCAAGTTCCTTCTTTTGTTTGTGTTTTGGGCAAATAAAACGACGGCAGAGATCCACAAGCACGTTCTGGGGACATTAATGAGACATCAAAGTTTTCAAGTCTAATTTAGTAACGGGCTTCCGGAGCCTGATGGCTGCAACATGTCTAATTTCGGACCGTAAAGTTTGGCGTTACGATTAAAACATTTGTTCTACGCGTTTTTTTTTGAGTAAATTACAATGTCTGCACAATTTCGTCTCGTTTCCATAGTAAACTCTAATCTTGCGCATCAATTGCACTAGTCAAAGTTTGAGACTTTCTTGCCAGCTATTGTTTTGCAATTTTGCCACAACCTGGCGTAGGTTTTGTCCATAAACCATCCTTAATAGTTTCCCGTTAAACCTGAAAGTCTGCTTTTAATATACCGGGAACGGAGGGAGAGTCAAACGGGATTAGATTAGTCAGTCCGTTGGAGTCGTACGAATCAAGATCGTGGCCAGTTCCAGTTTAGAAGTTTTTTCTTACGGGAAAAGTGTTGGAAAATGTCGTTGTGGATCACCTATGTGAGGGCAGGGTATAGGAAACATAATCATCAACTTAGGAAGAAACATCGACTGTCGTTACCTGTAAGTTGAGGCTGAGGCTTGTGCCATCGAAAGAGTAGAAAACTGAAATTAATTGTTGATCAAATTAACGTTTTTGCAGCTTTGATAGTTAGTGGTTTGTGAAGAGTCGAAGAGTTTCAGCGTGTAGCAACTTACTGGATTTTTTAAGTTTCTCTTCAGGCAACTGGTTTAAAGTAGTACTTTTGGAATAAAAACCTTTCCAATTCACACTGGTTTCTTTTGTCAAAGTTATGGAACATTTTGATTGATGATAATTGATGTTTAAGGGTTTTGGGTGTAATTGAAAATTCCAAGCATTTCCCTTATAAATTACTTCGGACAAAAAATGAACTTTGCTCTTCTGTATCCCAAAAAAATATATTGATACATATTATATTTTCGTATTATAGTCACTTTCAACTTTCGGCCTGTTAATTAAAGCGCGATTTCTTCATTTTTCACAAATTTTAATTTAGCTATTATTCGATTAAAATAATCAAATTAAACATTCTAAATTTACTTTAAGGATTCTGGCTTACTGTAGGTAAAACCCCAACTGCAAGCATTAAATTCCTTTGAACTTTCGCATAGAAAATGCAAAACGCTGTAAGACGCGTCGCATCTGTATCATAATAATAAACATAATAATCCACTGACTTTATGCGCTCATAAACAAGCCAACCGAGCTTTTATTACAGCCAAAGAACAAGTGCTAGAGCCAATGAAACAATACAACTGGTTAACCGACTTTTCCAACATCCCAATCTGAAAATTGCCTGGATCGCGATCTAAAAGTGAAAAGTGTTCGGGACATTGTAAAGTAATTAGAACTCAGCAAATTACCGCACATAAATCGCACACAATATTTAATTCCAGCAATTACATGTGCGTTCCGCATGACTCTGAATTTAGAATGAACTTTAGCGGCCGCTATTTAATTTGTGGCGTCCTCGAACTTACGGATAATCGTTTTGTTGCAGTCCAAAGAAGATGAAGTTGATAATTCACCGAGACCCTTGTCGGAAATCAGCGAAATGAGCGTTGAAGTGGGTGGTACTCTTGGCAAGAAGAGGATTAAGCCGATTAGCGATAAGCAACGACCATTGACTAGGTATTTACCTATTAGAGGCTCTGATTTGGATCTTCGGAACCATATAGAGACAGCAGGTAAAGTCCTCTTTGGGCAACAAAATCCTCTAATTTCATTCGAATAAAGCTTAATTTAAACAAGCGAATTTTGGAACACCCAGTGTATAAAGGTTGATGGATTCCAGGTCATCAAGTGGTTTTGTGTCCACACGTGATCATCAATTCCAACACTTGTAGAGGATTTCTGCACAAAAAAGGCTCGAAGCTGAATGGATGGTCGCGAAGATGGTTTGTCTTCGACCGCAACAAGCACACTTTAACTTATTACACCGATAAAAGCGAGAAGAAAGCTAGAGGAGGTGCTTATTTTCAGGTAGGTCGCTTTTAGGCTCGCCTTTGTTTACTCTTGCTTGAAACCGAGTTTTTGCAAAAAAACTACATCGGGAATTATTTCAAGTTTGTTTAAAATGCTGCGGTTGGATTTCAGGCAATTGAAGAAGTCTATCTTGACCATCTTAACACTGTAAAGTCGCCAAATCCGCAGTTAACATTCATTGTGAAAACTCACGAGCGACTTTATCACCTGATGGCTCCATCTCCTGAAGCTATGAGGATATGGGTGGACGTTATCTTTACGGGAGCGGAAGGATACAGGGAGTTTGAGCATGGAACTTGATAAAAATGTGTATTTTTAAAGGTATTTTACATTCGCTCTGGTATTGGGGCTTTGTGGGACATTTTGTAGCCCATATTTTCTTTAATGTACGTAAAGATTCATCTAGTTTTGTACGAAGTATTTTAAGAAGTTTTAATTATGTGATAATACTTTTTTAGCATATGTCATATTAGTGTTTGTAGATCTAATTTTGTTACCAAATGTGAGTGGATTTTCCGTATCGACAGTGGGCTTTATAAGTTCAAAGTTTGGCAATTCATGATTTCATGTACATTGGGAATAATTCAGTGATTATTAGAAACCATCAAGGAAATGTGTGCCTTTCAGATTCGAGACTGAAACAGAAAACATTATTGACTTGTTTAAAAAAACGCTCAATGATAGCATAGCGCTAGAAGATCGAAACAAATTAAATGTATTTTGTATTACATAAGACTGTATGAGGACTTACGCATGTAGAACCGCAAATATAAATGCTATATTTGTAATTAATTTTGTAGTTTTTTTTATCGTGCCTTTTGTGGAATTTTTGCGTTTCACCCGCCGCAAAAAGTGCACTTTCTGCTGTAAAAATTCCGAATTTCCAACTTAGAGCAAGTGGAAACTTCAAACTTCATCGGTATATAGAAGCTGTTTGAATCTGCAAATTATGATAATTTCATTCAAGTGGCATCAATTCTGGATTTTGGCAGACTTGCTAAATGTTGGACTAAAAGCGAACGTTTTCACCCAATGCACTTGCTGCTATAAAAAATCGTTACTTTCGACCTGGAACAAGTGGGATCTTGAAACTTTCACAATCTATAGAATATATTTGGATCTACCACTGCTGGTTAATTTGCTTCAAATCGTAGTAAAAGATTGATTTTTGCGGATTGGGAAATTTTGATCTCAATGCGAACGTTTTCGCCCGCGTGCACTGCTGCTATAAAAGATCGTTACTCTCAACCTGGAGCAAGTGGAAACTTGAAATCTTCACAATATATAGAATATATTTGAATCTACAACTGGTGCTAATTTGATTTAAATCGCAGTAAATCTTGCATTTTACGGATTTGGTAAATGTTGACCTAAAAGCGAACTTTGTTACCCGAGTACACTTGCCACAAAAAATCGTTACTCCCAACCTGGAGCAAGTTGCAACCTGAAGCTTTCACAATTTTTATAACGTATTTGGAACTACAATTGCTACGAATTTCATTAAAATCGCATCAAATTTTTATTTTTACGGTTTAGGAAATGTTGGGCTAAAAGCAGACACAAGATAAAAACATCCGCTGCAAAAGTGCACTTGACTTGCTGCTATAAAAATTGTTAACTTCCAAAATAGAGCAAGTGCGCAGTTTAAACTTTCCCCATCTACAGAAGACATTTGAAGCTGCAACTGCTGTTAATTTCAATCAAATCGCATAAAATTTGGCGCAAGATGAAACAAAAAAAATACAAACATTACCAACGTTTAATAATAATTATATTAAATACTTAATTTCTAAATATTTTAAAGTTAAATCCCATTACTGTTGGGTATAATCCAAAGTGACCAAAGGGGTGTAGACAACATTGGGCAGAGCCTGGATGTTCTGGAAGTAATAATTAGCCACGTATTCCTCCGGTTTGCTGTTGGGTTCTCTGGTCTTCTCCAAAACGACTTTCTGCAATCTTCCATCGGGCTGTTGCAGGTAGAAAAAGTTGCCTCCTCCTGCCACCGCATTCGCTATGGAAATATTTGGACCTGCTTCCGCTCCCTCCTGGTTCAAGGGGTTATCTGTTGGTTGCTGAAGCGGAAAAAAATTGAAATTTTTTGCGTATTTTAACAATTTTTTGGAGCTCACCTGAGGCTTGGGTTCCTGGTCCGGCTGGCTTAATCCATCAACACTTTCTGGAGATGATTCAGTAACGGGCGGTCTTGCTGTGGACGGCCTGGAATTGAATCCACCCTCAGCAACGCCTTTAGGGGGCAAATATCCCTGCCCAATATCTGTTGCGGGTTTATTTGCCTGACCTGGATTTTCCGCTGCAGGCCTATTTTGAGGACGGTTTCCAGAAAAAGGCGTCTGAGACTGTCCCACTGATCCTTCACCCTCAGAAGGCAAATATTGCTGATTTACACTATCCGGCCTAAATCCAGAGGCCGGCTTGTAGGGCAATTGTTGCTTCTTGAGCGCATCCAACACTTTCTGCCTCAACACTTCTTCATCCGTTCGTTGTTCGTCGAGTGTCTCAAGTGGTCTAACATCTGGCACCCCGTAGTTCGTTGCAGGCGGCTTCTGTTGATTATTAACGGATCCAGAAGTTTCCCTGTTGGGTACTCCATAAGTGGCTTGAGGGAGACTCTGCTGTGAGTTTTGCAGCTTTTCGGGCGAGTTTTGAGGCGCTCCATATTGATTGGAGGGCCTAAAACCGGTCTGAGCTGGGGAAAATTGATTCTGGTTTGTCCCTTCAGGTCTAAATCCTTGAGAGGGCGTATATTGGTTTTGTGGTCGCTGAGTCTGGAATTGATTTTGAGGTCTCTCAAAATTCGGTCGCTGAGTCTGGAATTGATTTTGAGGTCTTTCAAGATTTGGTTGCTGACTCTGGAATTGATTTTCCGGTCTTTCAAAATTTGGTCGTTGAGTCTGGAATTGATTTTGAGGTCTTTCAAGATTTGGTTGCTGACTCTGGAATTGATTTTGGGGTCTTTCAAAATTTGGTTGCTGAGTCTGGAATTGATGTTGTGGCCTCTGAGGTGCGAATGCCAGCTCAATATTTTGATTGTTCTGAGGTCTGAACGACTGCCCATTCTGAGGCTGAGACGGAGGTCGAAACTGGGCTGGAGGTCTGTAGATCTGTTCAGGTTGCCTGGCGGGTGGCAAATATGAGCTTTGCTGCCCTGGAGTTTTTGATGGAGGCAAGTAGGAGTCCTGTGGCTGGAAATTGACGGTTTGTTGAGCAGGCCTGGAGGGTGGCAAGTAGGAGTTTTGCTCGAAACTGACTTGGATTTTCTGGGGCCGGTTAACGACCCGTTCTTGAGAATTCTGTAGCTGTTCAGTGAGCTTGATCAGTTGCTCAATGGTGAGTCGGGAGGGAATTTTTACATCGATTGTTTTTATTGGTTGGTACTGTTGAGGGCTCGGCCTGAAGTCTTGGCGCAAATATGGTGGTGGCAACTCGCACTGTATCCCAGCGCAGACTAGAAGAATTAGAATTGGAACCTGTAAGTAATTGGTGTTTTTTCAGTCGTAAAACCTAAGTGCTATAATAATCGAAAGTAAAATTCGTTCTTACCTTCATGGTGCGTCTACATGTATGGAATATAACCGACATACTAACAAGTGTTTATCACAGTTTGGAATTTATATAATGTAGCTTTTAAATAATTGGTATTCAACAGGTATCAACGGGATGATGCGTGCGGTGGTCTGGTCTTCATTGTCTGTATTTCTATATAGTAATAATGAATTGATTTTTGCCGTTGACCTAAAAACCAAATTTCGATTTCATTTTTCTTCGGTTGTCCAAGTGTCCAAGAATGAGTTCGGAAGGTTACATTCAATGCGTATTTGTACTGAATTTCGATGTTACGTATTCTTGTTGTTCGTCCTTACGTCGGTTCTTTGAAATGGTAATTTTCTCTGTTATTTATTTTAGAAAATGTATAAGTTCAAATTTTAGCAGTAGCTGGGTATTTATAAAGAGGACTAAATTGGACTAATATTATTAAGCGTGTAAAAAGCCGTATTTTTTAATTTAATATTCAGAAGGTTTCAGTGAAGAAGCCTGTAATAAAGCACTCGAATATGGAGTTATATTAACATTTGCGATCATCAGAACTTAATTTTAATTGATTTGTCAAGGAAAATTTGCGTTTGATTTCAAAGTTTTTTTAAAATAAATGTTAATTTATTTTTTCTGAGTTAATTTCTTATTGATTCATAATTGAATGATAATTGATTATTGAATGATGAAATTGATTGTTATCAATCAAAGTTATTTTGATTTGCTCGAAGGAATTTTCATGGGCAGATTTATTCCTAATTTATTTACTACTTAAATTTGAACAAAACATTCAATATTGAATTCTGCAATTGTAATGGCTAGAAATAATTCTATTTTTTTAATAGAGTTTTTCCTCTTCATATTGTAATTTGTATAATTATTTTTTTATGTCTTCCTGTTTTTAGATTATCATGTCGCCATAATGACGTTTAATACATATTTCCATTAAAACAATGTATTTGGATTCTATAAAATAACAATGTTCCTGTTTCCAATACTTGGACCGTTTTTTTAAATTTTCTCTAGATATTTAATTTTATGTGTTTTAATTAGTTCTTAGAGTTCCACTTTAGTCTTATGTAAAACATACTCAGTAAATTAAGTGTAAGTCGATTTTGCTTCGGTTTTCGACTGCATTCAATACCGCGAAACTCTTTTGAATTAAAACAAGGTGCCAATAAGGGATTGTGAACATTGTTAAGTGCGAAAAAATTAATTAAAGGTCGGTAAATAATTTTAGAAACCAATAGTACAAAATATAGCGATAATTTGCTTTAAAAAGCAATTTTAAAATGTTTTCTGCCATTTATAAACTCTCATGTCTCAAAGAATCTTCCCGCCAATATTTTCCGTTTTCATTTATTATGATGCTCAAATGGTTCGCTGTAAAAATGCCAGATTACATCAATATATAGGATTGCTAGAGAAAAAATTGCTGGAAGTTTAAATGTAAGACATCAAATTGCAGTAAAACTGGTTAAAGGTATTTTAAAAAAACGAAAATTTTATTTACACTTTGAAAACATGGACCTCGGAAACTATGAACTTTCGAATGAAACACATTTGTCTTAAACGCAATATTTTTGCCCAAACAATATCTCAGTGAATTTTGTCACCTTAGTCGAGGTGACCAATGTAGGATTACTCAATTCGAGGACAGATTTTTGGCAAAAAAAAATTACCGCAAGTAGACATGCATTTTGTCATTGCTTGCTTACAATCGTCTTTTATTTATTATTAAATTCCTGAACAATTGCCAATAATAGAAATTAGTTGTGTAAGCGCTTGATTGAATTTATCGGCGGCTCGACGTGACATGAGAAACTAACGTGACTACTTTTGGCCATTAAATAATTAATTTCATGAAAGTGAAATGAAGTTCGAAATGTTAAACACGCCGGTGGAAATTACCTTTTTCTGCTTCAGCATTTAGTTGTGTGAACATTTCATGTTTTGAGAAATGTGTCCCTAAACCTTTAACAAATGCAGTTAATCAAAACAAAATTTAACGGTTTTTGCATTATAAAATAGTTTGTGCCAGTGGTTGAAAACCGTGAGTTTTTCGCTATTTTAGTCAATGTGGAAAAGAATTTGCGATCAGAAAATATATTGAATAATAATCGAATAAATTGAAATTGAATTTTGTCTGTTAGTTTGTTGCTTCCGTTATCGTTGCAACTCATTGATTTCTCCTGTTACCCTTACTTTTAATTTTTCTACTCTGAACATTATTAGATAGAAATTTCAACAAAAACGCACTGCCTTCACACACATCGACTCTTAATTATGAAGCGATAATGTTCAGTAAATCAAATAGAGGAGCGACAACTTTTCAACCAACATTTTTACTAATAGGGTAATTTCGGGAGAGATGAACCACCGCCTGAGATGGACCAGTCGGGTATTTTTGACTGTACATGGTATATGAAGAATATTTCAACGCTACCCCGTCAACAAACGACTACCAGTTGCACTCCGATAGTAGCTTTGTGTGTAGTTAATTT